CGGCGGGATAGGCCCCACGGCGCCCCACGGCCGGGGCCGCGGGGGCTCCAGGCTGCGCTCTGGCCGGCAGCCGGCACGACCCCCGGCATGGGGCGGTGGCACCATGTGCAGCACGGACTACTTCGTGGCCATCGTCCTGCTGGACACGCGCCCAGGTAGGGCCGCGGCGGGGGCTGGGTGGGGGCGCGGGGGGCTGCGGCACTGCCCGGCCGTGGGGTCTGGCCTGGGGGCTCTGCGGGGCCATGAGCGACTGCGGGGTCCCTTGACGGGGGGGGGGGTCTGGCACCCTGACCGGCTGCAGGGCCGTGTCCTGCTGGGCCTGGGGGCCCCCCCGTCCCTGTGGGGCCTGGCTGGGGCCCCCCGTCCTCGTGGGGACATGGGACCCCCCTTCTTACTGCAGTGGGGGGCCCTGGGCCCTGCCTGGGCACAGGCACCCATCTTCACGGCAATGGGGTGCCCCCCTCACTGAGCACCGGGTGGGGTGCCTGGTCCAGGGGGCAGGGGGGCTCTGTGGGGCTGAGCGTGGGACCTGTGCTGTGCCGGGGCTGCCTGGAAGGGCTGGTCCCCATGGCGCCCGGCTGTGACCGGCCCTTGCTTCTCCCCCAGATTCCTTCTGGACCCGCAACTCCTTCGAGACGGACTCAGACCTGCCTGCGGGATGGATGCGGGTGCAGGACACCTCGGGCACCTACTACTGGCACATCCCCACCGGCACCACGCAGTGGGAGCCCCCTTCGGGGCTGGCCCGTGGCTCGGCCCCCGGCTCCCCTGGCAACACCCCCTCCGAGGAACCACCGGTGAGTTGCGACCGTGGGGACCCCCAGGGCTTGGGGCCGTGGGGCTGCCCCATGGTGTGTGCCCTGAGCCGGACCCGCTCTCCCCACAGCTCGCCTGGACGGGCTTCGCCCCGGCTGAGCGCTTTGGTGAGGGAGATTTCTGGAAGGTGAGAGGGGGCAGTGGGCAGCTGGGGGGTGCAGCACCCCACGGTGCCTGGCCCCTGCCAGCCCCCCCCTCCCTTCCCAGGACCCCGCAGCGGAGGAGGCGGATGATGAGCCAGGAGTGCAGGATGAGGAGCTGCCATCACCGGGCCTGGCCTCGCGGAGCATGGGGTGTGTGGTGGGGGCATGGAGAGTGTGGGGCCCACAGGGAGGTGTGACCCCAAGGGATGGGCAGTGGGACGGGGTGGCGTGGGGGTGGCATGGGGCAGGAGCTGGGCCCTGTGCATAGGGTGGGGGGGCTGGGGTCTCCCTACCTGTGCTCAGGGGGCAGCAGGCGGTGACGGTCCCTTCGCTCTTGCAGTGTGGCCCTGGCCGAGGAGGACAAGCCAGGCTCCAAGGTAGGCCTGGTGCCCAGCCCGGACCCCCCCACACTGTGGGGCTCCCACTGGCTCATCTGGCCCCTTCCTCACCATCGCTGCCCCCACCGGGGTCTGGGGTCTGCCCCGCTGCCAGGGGGCAGCTGGGACCCCCACCCCAGGGTTGCAGCTTGGTGCTGCCACGGTGCCATCACCGTCACGGGAGGGGGCTCAGCCGGGTCTGGGGTGTGTGGTGCCCCTGCTGCGGGGTCTGCCCTGCCCCGAGGATTGGGGGCCACATGGGGGCAGGCGGGCGGCTGGGATCCCCATGCTGTGCCTGCCCCACGCTGTCCCTGCAGCGCTTCGCTGTGCGCTCGCTGGGCTGGGTCGAGATGAGCGAGGACGAGCTGGCACCAGGCCGGAGCAGCATCGCTGTCAACAACTGCATCCGCCAGCTCTCCCTGCACCAGCGCGGCCCCCCTGGTGCTTGGGGGGAGGTGAGTGCCCCCCTGCCCCGCACGCCGCCCTCACCGGCAGCCACCAGCATGGCTCCTGGGACCCCCCCTGACGCTGGTCCCCCCAGGGCCGGGCAATGCTGCTGCTGCTGGAGAATCAGACGCTGAAGCTGGTGGACCCACAGGATCAGGCCCTGCTGCATGCGCAGCCCGTGGCCAGCATCCGCGTCTGGGGCGTGGGGCGCGACAGCGGCAGGTGGGGGGCACGGGGGGTCCCCCCGGGGATGTGCTGGACGCGCAGGTTGGGGGTGAAGGGGGATCTGTGCCTGCGGGGTGGAGGGGGGCTGCATGGGACCCTGCAGGGGCTGTGTGGGATGGGGCCCTGTGGGGAGCACGGTGCAGGGGGGCACGGGC